TTTTTTGGATAAGAAAATATGTAATACAAATTAAAATGTGATCCAGTAACCAAACAATAACTCACCACAATAGCAAGTTCAAGATAAAAAGACATGAAGCTCCAGAGACACATACAGATGAAAGGTAGGATGGATACTAGAGTTGTCTATTTTCAAAGTACAAATATGGGATCATAACAATTTTTTTAGCCAAAAGTAATGGCTTTGAATTGCAAATGAGTGTGGAATGGGCATTGGAAAGACTCCCTTGGGAACTATGAGTGTAGTGAGTGGCCTAGATGTAAATGGAACAGATGGGATTGCCATTAGAACAGCAATCATCCCTCCCACCCCAAATTGTTGTTTCTGTTCCAGTTTCACATATCCTGTCCCACTGTCAGGTGATGTGTCAGATGACATGTCCTGGTACTTGGTTTTAAAATATGACTGTTAGAGCCACAAGATGAAGTGGATGAGTTGGAGTGTTCTTAGAACAAGAAAGAAGACAGAAAGGAAACAACAGATCATCCACTGCACAAATATTTATTGTGTGCCCATTGTGTATCCACTCTTCTAAAACTAGGGACACAAGGGTGAACAAAATAGAAAATGGCCTTGCTCTTGTGGAGCTTACATTCTAGTTTGGGAAGACAGACAATAAAACGTAACAACTAAATATAAATTATGTTGGATGGTGGTAAATGCAATAGAAAATCTAGTCTGAGCAAAGCAAATGAGAATGAAGAATGAGAGTGATATCATTTTAAATAGGATGGTCAGGAAAGGCTTAACTGATAGGAAGACAGCTGAGGAAGTGAGCTATGCGGACATCTGGGGAAAGAATATTCTGGGTAGAGGGAATGAAGAGCACATGAAAATGTTCTCATGTGGCTGGTGTGAGGGATGTCGGAGGAACCTCAAAGATATTAATGGAGCTGGAGAGGTGTGAGAGGGAAGGAAAATGGTAGGAAATGAGCTCAGGGAATCAGCGGGTTGGGGAGGCAGGTCATGTAGAGCCTTTATAGAACTTGGTAGTAAGTATTTGGCTTTTGCCCTGAATGAGGGGAAAAGTCCTCCTAGTTTGGAGCAGGGGAGGGACATGGTCTGACCACCATCTTCAAAGCCTCCCTCTGGCGACCAGTTAGAAGAGTATTGGAATAGTCCAGGTGGGAGATGCTGGTGGTCTGGACAGACCTGCAACAGTAAAGTTGGCGATAAATTAGGGTTGGAATATGGCCATGCTGATGGATCAGACACTGAGTATAAGAGGAAAAGAAGCATGACTAAAAAAATAATAAAAGAGATGGGAATGTAAGCGAGTTCAACCATTGTGGAAAGCAATATGGAGGTTCCTCAAAAAACTAAAAATAGAAATACCATTTAACCCGGGAATCTTACTCCTTGGAATTTACCCAAAGAATACAACTTCTCAGACTCAAAAGGACGTATACACCCCTATGTTTATCACAGCACTATTTACAATAGCCAAGATATGGAAGCAACCTAAGTGTCCATCAGTAGGTGAGTGGATAAAGGAGAGGTGGTACAGATACACAATGGAATACTATTCAGCCATAAGAAAGAAACAAATCCTACCATTTGCAACAACATGGATGGAGCTGGAGGACATTATGCTCAGTGAAATAAGCCAGGCAGAGAAAGACAAGTGTCAAATGATTTCCCTCATTTGTGGAGTATAAAACGAAGCAAAACTGAAGGAACAAAATAGCAGCAGACTCACAGACTCCAAGAAGGGACTAGTGGTTACCAAGGGGAGGGGTGTGGGAGGGCAGGTGGGGAGGGAGGGAGAAGGGGACTGAATGGTATTATGTTTAGTACACATGGTGTGGGGGATCATGGATAGAACAGTGTAGCACAGAGAAGGCAAACAGTGACTCTGTGGCATCTTACTACACTGATGGACAGTGACTGCATTGGGGTATGGGTGGGGACTTGATAATATGGGTAAATGTAGTAGCCACATTTTTTTTTCATGTGAAAACTTTATAAGAGTGTATATCAATAATACCTTAATAAAAAATTAAAAGATAATAGTAAGAAGAAAAGAATAAAGAAGAGAAAGGAAAGCAGGGGGATAACTAGAAGAGCACACACACAAAGGGCTGTGGCCACCCTTAGGACTTCTCTGGAGGTCAAGCAAAGAACTCCAGGATTTGATTGCCTGAGAGCCAGCATGTGATTCTTGGTTCTTAGGCATAACTTGGAACATGAATTTATGCTGCCTGCATTTCTTGGCTGTTAAAATCTACTGACCCCAAAGTGGAGTTCAGTTGTGTGGCTAACCCACAGTGAATGTGTTAGACTAGTGGCCTCAGTTGAGCAGTTGAATGGAAGATGCAGTAGGAGTGTAGTGATGGTTGGGGAGGGAGAAAATCTCACCTCCTTTTGTCCCTAGAGACAGTGACCCTGAAAGAGTAAACCCTAGCACGAATGAGAAGGCATGTGCAGAATAGATGTCATTATCCCCAAACCCAAATTCATCATACAAAGGTTACATACATTATTTGCATTTGAGTGCTTTATTATATTGGAATTGCAGTGATATCAACATTTGTACAAATGCACAAAATCTTGTCTCTTCTTGCAGAAAGAGATGTAAAAATCTGACCTAGTTGAACAGTCTTAATGAACTCATTGTCCATTGATAACAATAAATGTGTTCACAATGCAACAAAAAGCTTAACATAAAATTAAACATATTAAATGCTGCAGCAAGTATTTACATGTATGTACCCCCAATTATTTTTCTCCTTCCAATAAGGAAGGTGGTTGCTTTACAAATAGACAGACAAACACAAATGCTTTGCTGTTTACAATTACAAACAACCCCCATGTCCAGAAGTTAAAGTGACAGCACCTTTTTTGGGACTTCCTTAGTTAACACTTACTTTGCACAATGCTAAATTTTTTTCTTTTAGTTCTATTTTTGGACAATATTTATATTCCAATTGTCCTAGAACATTGTGTTTGAACTGAGCCCCTTTTCTGGGCATTTCTAGAAGATCCCAAACCTCATGTCCTCTTCAGAGAGAACATTTCAAGCTTATCTTTTCTCCAAGACAAACCTCAAAGGCAGAACTCCTCTATGAGGCAGGTGTGATTTAGCAGAACTCAGAAGGAAAGAGGGTGGGTAGGTCTTCTTATGTACTGGCTGGCTGGTTGGGAAGGGTCCTTTCTTGGAAACACCCTCCACTTCAGCCATGCTGATACCTTTCATCATCTCCTGCAGTGTCTAAAGCACTTGTACTCTAAAGGAGCAAACTAGAATCTCATGAGCTTATTGCACATAAGATTTTAATGATGATTTTAAAGCTAATTTATTCAGGTTCCACATTCTCAGTCCTGAGGCTAAAATGATTCTGTTTAAAAAAAACTCCTACAAAGTTCTATAATATGAAACTCAGTGTAAGAAAATCTTGATGACTTCAGAAGAGCTTTCTAAATCCTGGCTTCTAATAAGCTATATATTGTAAGTTGGTCTATATAACAGTTGATAATTATTGATTCTCCTCTGATCATAAGCTTGGAAAGGTATCAGAATACCACTTCAGAGTACTAATCTTTCAACAAATGCTGGCAATCTGGCCTTACCCGCCTCTTCAACTTGTGGTTAAATAGTTTTTTTTTAAAAATAGACAATTTATAAGGAAAAAAATATATAAACATTCTTTAAGCAATTTGGCTATAAGCACTACATCACTGAAAAACTCCAGAAGGAATAGTAAAATATTTTGAATGGACATCCACTTTTTCATTTTCACAACAAGCTGGGACATTTTTCTTCCTTTCTTTTCATTTATCTGTTTTGGTATTGGTTTTTACTTGTAAGTTTATTGCTTCCGTGTCTTCTTGTCTTTTCTTAGATTATAATTGTGAAATAGAGGTGCTGTCCCTAATTATGGTACAAGGCAACATTGTAGTTTTGAGACCAAGGACTGAAATATATAGGGCCCCTGCCAGTCGTTTCAGCAGCCTCAGCAAGACAATGGTAGGGCCACAGCCTAACGTGCACCACACGCACAAGAGTAAGTCTCCTGGCTCATTCAGGACACTTTGGTTTGGAGGATGAGACAGAAAAATCTTAAGGGTAGCTTAGCTGCTGCTTCACATCTGTTGCATAATATACCATTTCAAAAAACATGCTATGAATAAAGAGATAAAGAATATAAACTGGCTCTTCTTGGTATTCTCGAAGCAGGCTTCATCTAGGCTGATGCGAGAAACACATATTCGCTATGCTACCAATGAACGCTTGCAAATGTACCTGGTGCAAATATTCTGTATTTTAAATGATGCAGCTCAGAGCCTTAGAGAAAGGGTGGGGAAGTGCCACAGTGGGGAGTGAAGCCAAGTTTGAGGACAGGGAGGAAGGGCGAAAGAGAACAGGAGAAATAGAAAAGGATCAAAAAAGCTAAAGTGCAATTTTAAAATATAAATTATTTTAAAAGCAGAAGAGAGATTCTAAACTGCTATGGTTCGCATAGGCACAGTTTCATTCAAATTCAAATGTGTTGTTTCCTTTTCCTTCTCAGATATACTGCATAATGGAACTTGAATGGCTTAAAGCTACTGCACATTGTTTGGGCAGGGACAAAAAGGGCACTGAGGAAGGCTAATAGTGCAAGGCATTCTAGGCAAGTGGGGTGGCGGGGAGAGAAGCAGAGAGGAAGTGGGTTCACACTTTTCTAAGAAAGCTGTTCCAGTTACAGTTACTAATTCCCTTTAGCTGAGCTCTGCTTCCTAAAAGAAAGAGTTTACTTTAAAATTAAAAGAGAAAAAAATGTTTTTAAAAACCGTTCAGAACATAGATTAAAAAATAACTCACAGATCAATACAAATCCTTGAAATTTCTATGCACAGAGATCTAAGCAAACATTTCCACCGAATGATGGAAAATAGCCATTTGAAACCCTGAAAAAATGAAGATACAATTAGAGTAGTTTATTAGGAACTAACACTTTAAAAACAAGTAGATCCTACAGAAGAATACTGTTCAAATGGAATGTTTAAAAATAACATTTATTAATAAATATTTTATAAAATTCTAAATTAATAGATTCCTGTTCAAATTTTGCTTTGGTCCTTGAAATCCACTGTATATACACATACATACATATATATTTTCTTAGATGGTTTTTATTAACCAGAAAGAAGCATATTCTATCCTAACTGGATGGCTAGTTTTATAGCAGTTACTGATGCTTAAAACCCCCCAGCCAAAGGCTGGTCTTTTACCCCAGGTGGTTTAAGATTTTAGTGATAAACTCAACTAACACACTAAAGTTCACTTACCTAACAGGCACCAACCCCCTGAACATTCACCATTGCCACCCCTCTATTTGGAGCATGTGCTGCATTTGATTTCATTGACTGGATAGGCTCCGAAGAGCATTTGCTCTAAGTCACCCTGAGTATAACAATGCGTGCGGTGACAGAGCACAAACCGCTTGTCTCCCACAGGCCCTATTAAGACTGTGACTTGCATACGTTGCCACGGAGGTAGGAGAGAGTTGAGTGGGAGTGGACAGGGAAAACATCCAACCTAACACTGGGTTTTCAAATGAGTACATTCATCCATGGCTGGGATTTTCATGATACCCATCCCCACATCATATGTGGAGAAATGTCTTAAAAGGAAAAACAAGATGTGGATGCCTCCGTGCAGTTGAGGATTCACCTGGTAGAGACACTCTCAGATGTACCTAAGTTGTTAACTCCCATTGCATAGGCAGGGGAGGCCCAGGAGAAGCTTCCAGGTAGGCGAGCAGTGACTTCAAAGCCAGTTCCTACCAATTAAAAAACCACATGGGCGAGGCAGTACACCAGGGCCCTGGCCTCCTCATGGTGTGCTCTGAAGGTCATTACAACTGATCTGTGAAAATACGGATGGGTGAGCTGGTAATTGAGTGGGAGAAGAAAATGGGATAGAGAGATGTTTTCCCAGATTGGTAAGAAGGGGGGATTTTTCAGGCCGACTGAGTATTCCGTGGTCTGGCGAAGGCTGGGCCTTCAAGTGAAATACTTAATATTGATAAGCCTACTGGCAGGTCTGACCACTGAGCCTTTCTGTTCAGGACTTCAAGAGGCTCTGACAGCTAGCTGGCTTCTCCCACCTTCTGTATTTTCACAGCGCTAATGAACATCCCTGAAGGCCTGGAGTACAACAAGAAGACAGTTTATTCTAATTATATGTTGAGGCCCATTTGCTAACGTGTGTGGTTGGTTTGCCTGCTTAGCATAAAAAACAGACATAATTGAGCTATATATAATGCACATCAGTCAAACTGTCAAGTTGCTGAATTAAGAAAACTCCGACAAGTTCTTAGCTACAGAGGCTTTCAGTTTAACAACTAAATATTTCAATCAAGAGGTGGAACAGAAAGTAAACCATAATTTTAGTGACAGCCCACTCCCTGGACACTTTGATATTACCACTGGATTTTTAAAAAAATCCATTTCATTAAGTGCTATGCATGCAGTAAAGGAAGAGAAGTTTTTGTTTACTTAAAGTAAAAAGTAAAATAAAATAAATTTTAAAAACCAAACATTTCAATGAGCTCTTTTTCCTTTTTAGGGAGACATGCAGATGGTCCTAAGAAGGAGTTCTGAAACAATCAATTTTGTTGTCAAAATAGATAAGAATGTTAACTACTTTTTTTAGCTAACTCTTAAATATTTCTTAGGAAGCCAGTTAGTTTAAACCAGTCGGCTATATTACTTCTGAGATTCAAAATAAAACAAAACAACTATGTATTCAGTATTTAAAATACCTAAATGATATGTTTGTCTAAAATATAATAGAAAATCCTTTTCATTTGCATTTTTTCTCTTTTTTTTTGTTTTTTTGTTTTTGCTTTTGTTTCACTTTTTAGACTATATATCCAGTCATGAGTTTCACTGGACACTCAGAACTTTCTTTTGAAAGCACTGCATATGTGAAAAGATTGTTGATAAATATTGATTTAAAAAGTAAGTTATTAGATAAAACCGAAACTAGTTATAAAAATCATGCTTCATGACCCTATTTTCTTTTGTTCTCCAAAATAGATTCTTACACTATAGTGAGAAACAAAACAAAACAAAACACGTCCTTCCCTTTTCTGAACTCTTATAAAAAGCTACACCTTTTGTAAAATACAATTCTTTTAAATCCCATGCACACACTCACACACACATATACACACTTGTGTTAGGAGGTCAAGCATTCAAATGGAGATGAAACACCAGCACCTGTCTAGACGGCTAGAGAGAAACATCAGCCCCTGTTATTTGTGAGATGCTATATTAAAACATTAGCACAGTAGAATGGCTTGTTTCAAGGAGGCACAACTGTGGTTTGGGACTATCTGCTTTTTATAATGGGCAAGTCCTTGAAAGTCGTTGAAAATATAAATCAGAGATGTGAAGAGTGGAGTGGCTATATCCATGGGATTCTTTCAGCAGCCAGAAAGTGCTTTAACTGTTGTGGGATGGCTGAAAGCAGCCCTATGGAAACATTAGGTTTTCTTTCTCTCTTTGTTCCCCGCCAGTAGTTTGTCTACTTTACCCACCAGAACAGCAAAGCTGGTTCCATTGACTTAAGGAAAAAAAAGTCTTAGGCTATTAGCAATGTAATCTGTGTAGTGAATAGAGCCCTTCTGAATTATTATATAGTACACAGACTTTCAACGTTATAGACAGGCCATATAAAACCAGTTGTAATTCGAGGGTGTGATGTTATAGCCCCGCATCATAATTTGGACTTTCACAATCGAGGCTTACAAAGTTCCCTTCCCTGGTGTCTCCACAGCTGGCATTCAACAGTGCTTCACCTATGGCTAAGCCACCTTTTATTTGCTCTGATTATTAAAAACCTTAAATCAGGCACATTAAACATCTCCCAGTTACTATTTTGTAAAAAGCAAGAGTTGAATGAACTCCAGCTGTGGGTCATGGGTGAGGGAAGCCATGGCTAGATCCGCATTTTTGAGGTTTGCTTTCTTTCCTTTAAACATTATTTTCTTCTTTACATGCAATGCTAAAGGGGGAGGAAATAAAATGGACAAAGTAAAAATGAAGACTCAACAGGGAGCCCAGGAAAAAGTGGAAATGGAGAGGAAAATTGGGCATTCAAGGAAGTGGGCCAAGCAGAGGAGGAAAGGTGGTGAGATGCTTGATGGTTTTATTTGGACATCAGTGGATCTTATAATTTTTTTATAGTTAAGAGAAAAACAGTTATGGAAAAGGCTTTGTGTTTATCTGGGGTTCTGGTGACATCACAGCACAAACTCAACCCCATGTCATGATGTCCTCAGACTCATCACCCAGTTACTTTGTGTCTGTTTACTTGGCATCTAGGTATGCCTCATTCGGGCTAAAAGCTGCGGTTTAACAAGAGTCAATACTTCAGGCAAACATTGGACTGATAAGAATGAAACTATGACTATATACAGAAAGAGTTCAGTTTATAAACAAGTAATTGGTACCAGGAAATTGGAGAAAAGCACCAAAGCATTTCCCAAACTGATAGATATTAATTGCATAACTCCCTTCTTTCTTATATAACTAAGTATAAAAGACAACATTTCCATAATAACTGTAAAAATGAAAGCCAGTCTTTGAAGGGCTGAGGAGTCTTCCAGGTCTGAGTTAATTCTAAAAATGCCCTTAAAAGAAAGGACGCGTGATAGACGACAGCGCTTCTTGGAGGCAAGGTCTGAGCCGTGGATTTTAAAGAATGGGATTCAGGTCTGTTCTGTGGGTGGTGAGCTGGCTGAGGGTGGAGCTTCCTACTACCTCGCTCCCTGCCGAGGAAGTGGTGACGGTGTTGTGCTGGATGACCTGCTGCTGAGAGCAAGCTGGGACAGGGCTGGCAGGAGGGCTACTCTCTGGACCTAGGAAAAAACACACACGCACACAGATAGAGCTTTCTTGGGCGGACTTGCGGACTACTCAGAAAAATATCACTAAATGTTTACTAGAAATAGAAGCATTTCACGCATTTTCTCCTGGAGGTTAATTTCAAAACTTTAAACTGTAGTCACAAAGCTATGCCTTCCCAGTTTATAGCTACAAGCAAAGCCATGCTTTCTACACCAGCAAAAATGATTTTATGTGTTTGAGTCTTGGTATATGAACTTCCCCATCTTGTATTTTCACATTAGCCATCCATATATCAAATGTGGAAAAATACTCACATGTGGTGGGAGAATCTGTGTTGCTCAATCTAAAAAATTATTTGAAAATAAATTGACCTTCAGCCATGAATCCCTGTCCCACCCACCATCCTCTACTCAACTAGCATTCAACGTATTGACATTCCAGATGCAGAAACTGGGGTCTAGAAAAAGGGATCTGCTTTACATATTGGCAAACTGAGACAAGGCCATCAGCTGTTCAGCCTCATAAATAACATGCAGCATGTTCTGAAGCATTCACCAATGCCTGTTCCCCAGCCCACGGATTTCTCTGGACAACTGCTAGCCTGCTGGGAATTGGGCTCCACCAAGCCACTTTTTTCTTACTGGCTGTGGAATTGGTATTTGGTAGGATTTGACAATGTGAAAGTCTAGCCAGAAATTATCAGGATGTGGTGGGCAAGGCGAGGGACAGGGGCCAGAAAGGAGATATTCCCCCTGGTGCAATAGCCTGGAAGCCACAGAAGAATTCTAGTATGATATCTGCTTGGTGTGCAATCTACACTTTACCTTTGCTCTTTCAATAAAACTCATTGCAAAATTAGTGGCAAAAAGTTGGGCACTAAAAAAAGCAAAAAAGCCAATGACTTACTTAGATATCCTTGAGATTCTTTTTGCATGGCTGTTATTGGGCAGTCTTTATGCGTTAACAATAACTGTTTCAGCTGTGCGACCTCATTTTTCAACATGGACACTTCATTCTGGAAAGACACATATCAAAGCCATGCTGAGAATACCAGAGAATACAAACCCAAGGCCCAGGCCCCTGCTTTTCAAAAGCAAAATTGTCAAGCTTTTCTGTTATGTATGAATGATAGTAAGAATATTTTTAATGGGATTCACCTGTAAATTTGTAGAGTGCCTTCAGTTTGGCCCTCACATTTACCAGAGGCTTTCTGAAGAGGCTAGCTTTTAACTCAAGAGAGGAATCCTATTAAAAGTCCAGCATACATCCTTTAGGTGGTGGAGGCACATTTCTTGGGTGGGAGTGTCCACTCTATACTTATTAGGTGACTCCAGGCACATAACATACCCACCTGAACTCTGGCAACCTTGTTTAAAGGACAGGTAAAAATAGCACAGTTTTTTAGGTTGAGAGGATTAATGAAATGATAAATATAAAACAAACCCTCAAACTATGCCTAATAATTCTTAAGCACTCAGTAAAATCAGCAATCATAATAATCATTTTCACACTGTATTACAAGCTCAGGTTGACCTTCAGGGTGAGAAGGTGAATGGGAGGCATGCATTGGGAAACTGTGTGTGGCAGGATTAGTGGCTTTGAACTGAAATGTCCTCTGAATAAAATGACTAATCTACCCTCAGATTTTCCCAAAGAAGTTCCATATGGGCTATAGAGTTCAACAGAGCATATCCTCCCTGCCTGGCACCCATTTAACAGAAGGCATGGAATCACACCGAGCAAATACTGATCATCTATTAGGATGAGATCTGCCCAAGGAGGCAAAAGCAGTGACGTTTGGGGGCCACGACTGAACTGATTTCATTGGTTCATTAACTAGGTGGGCTGATTTTAGTCTATAAACTCTTTTCTCCCACAGGATCAGGGTGTTGTGTATTGTGCATTGGTTTTTTTTTTTTCTTATTTACTTAGGTAAGTGCCACAAATTTCTACTTTAATGTAGTAATTCACAAAAACAAGTGCACAGCTTTGTAAAGTAAAGCACTTGGCATCTTTGTCTACAAATACAAATGTAGAACAGAAGGTTGGTTCCAAGGTGCTTCCACTTGATAAAAGTAAACTGTAAATACACCACTATCTCAAATAAGCCTTTACAGTTGTGATAAATAATACCCTCTTTCTGGCCAATGTTCATTTGTGGCTGTCCGGCATTATATTCCCTAGTATGAGACTTTAAAAAATATGCATACAGAAAAGCATGTTTGAACATTGCTGTCATTAAGTTATAGCTATACTTGTAATATGAACTTAGCTTTTCAGGCATGTATTTATCACCTAGAAAAGCAACTTTGGGATTCTAGAAGTTAATTAAAAAAATTTTTTTGAAACGTGTTTAAAAGAATACCTCCCATTTCCAAATTCATTTGCGAAATACATTATAAGCAATCAAATGCTGAGTAATATAAATCACAAAATAATTGAAAACCTCATCTACAAAATGTTTTGTCATTCTCCTCCAAACCTCACAAAATAAAAATGCCTATTTGAAAAATCAGCATTAATGAAAAATAAATCACCTAATTGCATGGGAAAATTTCTCTTAGCTCTGAGAATGTTCACGAAAGTGAACTGTACCTCCTACCTCCAAGTAAGGGTGACTCATAACGGGCCTAGTCAAAGCCAAAACTGATCCTTGTCAATTCTGGGGTCAATGGGACAACTTTATTTAGAAGACAATATATTTTTGCCTTAAACACTCATTCTTTTCTGTCTGATTTTATACCCACTTAAATTCTGACATTCTTCCTTGCTTTCCCAGCTCCCCTCTCCTAAAAATACCATGTGTGAAAGAAAGTTACCATCAGACCATTAAATAGAAGGCAACCCCTGGTTAAAAGCAAAAGAAAAAAAGGAGAGAAAGAAAACTAAAATGTGTGAATATATATTTTCTTGGCGTCCAGATGAAAAGTTGTATTTACATTTGGACTATAGAAAGGTCATTTTTCTGAAACCACAGCTGCTAGATGCCTGTACCCTGAGGAGAGGCCCTCAGCTCCGGACCATGCAGACAGGGGTTCTTAAAAGATGGAGTCAAGCTCCAGTTTTTAGTGAATCCTGCCAAACTTTTCTTCTGTGACCTAGGAAACAACAAATAAGGAAGGTATTTAAAACAAAACAGGATTCTCCTGCTTTCTTGTACTTCTGGAAGAAAAAAAATAAAAACTCATTTGGATCCATCTTGGAGCGGTTGATCTTAGTCTCCATTTCTTACCTCACTATGTGCTGGGCAGTCACATCTTTTCTAGGGAGAGTTCAACTTCCCAGATATGAAGTATTCACTGTCCCTTCCTTAAGAAAATACTTTGAATTCCATGTGGGTTTCACAATTGCAAGGACTCACTGTCTACAGTACTTGGTATGCTCCAAACTGTTTTACAATAAAACTTTTGCTTCCATGACATGTCAGAATAAAAGCACCAGTCACCACTATGAACAGCATATGTGGTGTCCGGCCTATAATCCCATACAAAATAAATGACTTCGGTGGCATTATTTGTCTAGGTATAGCAATAATAGACAGTTATGTTGTAATATAGAAACCGAGGCTTTGGGAGTTGTGAGGGTCTGTAAAAAAGTAGGAACCTGGAGAGTAGTATGACAACTGACCATCATTTAAAGATATATGTGAATATGGACGTATTTCTTAGTGCAATATGTTAGTAATTATGTTATTTAGCTGTGTTATGGTTGGAAAATGAATGCCAATTAATAGTCTCCGTAGAGAACAATCAGCCTCTTGTTTAGATCATACACATTTAGCTATGATGCTGATCAGGGTTAAGTAAGAGTCTAATGGCCACAGAAGCAACAGAAGTTTATGGGGCAGCTTCCCACAGAAAAAAAGGAACTCTCAACTAGGAGTTGAGAATAATAGGGTTTGGCTTCCCAAACTGCCACAACAAGTAGTATAAAAAAAGATGGTTGGACTAGTTCTCTAGTTTCTTTCAGCAAGATTTTTACTCTATGTGTTGCCTTCTATTGAGAAAGCTAATAACCAAATAATCTAATGAAGGACTTGATATTTTATTCTTTAAAGTTAACTACTTTTGCTATTCTAACACATGCTTATATTTCAAGTCTTACATTTCCTAAGGGATCCAGTTCTAGCACCTCGTGCTTCCAAATCTAATCAGATTCCAAGCAACATTTATAGTTTCATTACAGCATAAAATTTCGTGTCCATGTTAAGTGTCCATATTATTCAGAGAATTTATAGAGCCTGTATCAGATCCTATAGGGGAGCTTTTAGGTTAAGAAAGATCAAGAATGGCTGCCCTAGAGAAAGCAGAGCAAATGTATGCTGTGCACATGCATAATCATCTTAACGTTTCCATATTGATGGACTGACTGATGTAGGAAATACACAAATACTAGACCACGCTTTGAATAAAAATCCTTTTCAAGGTAACGTAAGTAGAACCACCTTGAATTCATTTTGAAAGAGAACAACCAGATAGTAAATGTTTCAAAATGCATGAAAGAAATCAAATTTGGCCTATGGCTCTAGTAGGGAAATAAAAACCAGGACTTCTGAAAGGCGTTTTCTTATTCTGAATTACCTTGCTTTATGAATTGAGGCAAGTCACCATTTTTTTTTTTACTCCCCTGTGTAGGTTATAATAATAGTTCAAGGTCTTCATATAGAAGTACTTTGCAAACCCAAAATATTAATAATCAGTATTGACTCTCCTGCTGAAGTCAGCCCTTCATTTTTTTATTTTTCTAGCTAGTTTGGGTTTGCTACTCTAAAGCATTTAGTCATTTGAATGGGGACCGTAAGGGGGTGGATGCAGTTGGATTAATCTGTTTTTAAACACATAACGTTGCCTTGGGATGAAGTAGCACGCCTATAGAGATGTTTAATACTATAATAACATACTTAAAACAAGCATTCTAAAAAGTCCCTAATAGGTACATTTGCAGTTTTTGGTTTTGGGGAATGTCGTTTTATTAATATGATAAGCCTAGAAAGCTTTTTGATGCAAAGGAGGAGTCTGTGCCAAAAAAATTATTATCAAAATGGGCCCTCCTCTGCTTTTTTTGTAGATTGGCTGAGGCCAGGTTTGGTTCATTCTACAACAAAGGACTTTCACTTTGTAAAGCAGCAGTTCCCATCTGGCCTATTCTCTTGCCAAGTCCCAAACCTGGGCTCCGGTGTCTAAAATTTCAGGGGCGACTTGGGCCATGTGTCTTTGAACTAAAAAAGAAAAGCAATTATTTCTACAAGTGACCAGATGATTTCCATATCATCTACTGAACAAGAACCATCCATTGAGAACCATATTAGCAGTTGATGAATTTAGAGCTGATCTTAGCCACTGTATTCATGAAAAGAATGTGGATTCCTTTAGTTTAGGAACTTCCTAGAATAAAAGATCAGAGCAGTGGGTTAGGTCAACAGAAGACTTGCTTAGGTACTCCTGTGACTGCTGGAAGACTCCTCATGTCCCCTGAGCCTCAGTTCCTTCCTATATAAAATGTCCCATAGGGTGGTTTCTAATATTTCCCTTAATTCCTATACCTGTGTCGACCTCTTGGGCAGAGATTTGTTGTGAGACGAGGAAATGAAGTCTGGGAGTTTGACTTTGTTTTCTTAGGTCTGATTTTTCCCAATCTGAAACTCTGCAGCCTAACTAGAAGGTTCTATGCTGGAAAACATCTCAAAAGTGGCAGCTGGCCATCCAGACCTTGGATATTCCGTTTGGCTGGAGTTTGTTTGTTTAGCACCTTCCACTTCTGTTTACTTAAAATTTGGCTCATTGGACCAGCCTCAAGAGACACCTTTTTCTTTTGACAAAGGTCCAGTGAGAGGGAAAGGGTCATTCAAAGGTAGCAGAATCTGCATATCCTCTCCAGCGTCATGAGGCATAATGCAGGGCACACACATCACAGAAAGCATGGAACAGATGTGGTTTCTGTCCCTCTGAGGCAAAGCAGTGGCTGGAACAAACCAAAAATTGTCACAGACTGTCCCTTTCTTGGCTTTAATGACCAAACATATGGATGCCTGTTGAGTAGCCCCAATAGGATTTTTTTTTTTAGCTATTTAGGTATCTAAATATCTTGTAGATTTTGCCCCCACAGGGGATATTTGGCAATGTCTGGGACTTTTTGGTTGTCACAACTTGGGGGTGGAGTAGAGGGTGCTACAGATATCTAGTAGATAAAGGTCAAGGGTACTTCTAAATATGTAAGTGAATAGGACACAACAAAGAATTACTGAGCCCAAAAGTCCACAGTGCCAAGATTGAGAAAACCTGCACGTTTTCATGGTCCTCTTGCAGACTTCAGAACTGAGAGCAAATTCCAGGGATTCCCACACTCCAGTCACTGCAGAACCACTGCTGTAATGTTTGTTAGGTCCACCTATACCAGAGTTTTTCTTTACTTAGTATGTTTGTACAAATTAACTCATTTTTAAATGATTTAAAATGATTCAAAAATAAAAATATGATTACTATTAAAAATGCTAATTCATGTTCTACCTAAAAGCTTCTCAAGTAACTACTGTGCCTGCCAGATTCTAGAATTATAGACTTTCAAATTGGAGTGACTTTTGAGGTGTTTGAGTCCAGGCATCTCCATCCCACTGTGGCTTGACTCCCTCCAGATACATCCCTACCAAGTGGCCAAGCAGCCAGTTCTTGGACACTCCAAAGATGGGGAACTCACTCATTTATTTCAAAAACAGATACTGAGTGTGCACACTTGGGAACTCACCATGCTAGCTGGGTACCATACTAGAAATGGGGTAGGTGGTAGGGAGAGACGGTAAGAAGACGCAGCCCCCTCTTTCACGTAGCAGATAAGCTAGTGGGAGGAATTACTATCTTATTTCCTCCATGTCTGCTATATCTGTTTCCCATGTTTCTCATGTTTATCACAGAAAGAATAATAAATTTAGGGTAAAAAGTGAACATCCATAAAAAACAATTTTCAGTCCTTGTATTCCCCAAACTTTCTTTGTATATTTTCAATTTGTACCCTGGATGCCCCAAAGCCACTTCCACTTAATGGAATTGAATATGTAATGGCTTTAGGGGTGTGGCACCCTAATTGCTCCTTTATAAGGATGCACAGAGAACCAGGTGGGAGAAAGGGAAGATGATCTATGAATTACTGAGGTGCAGATTCTTCCTGTTCTGAGCAATCTTTCCCCCTCTTCCCTCCACTCTTCAGCCATTTCTCTGCTCCTGGCAGCACTGGATTATGATCCACAGCTCTTACATCCATCCCTGGACTGCCTGTCACTTAGCTATTTAGTTGCTTTTTTCCTCCTGGTGAACAGTGCACTCCTTTTTGCATTAGAACAAATGCCTCGAACTGCATCATTTGTACAGTCTGCTGGAGAAGCCCTGGGTACTGTAGTTTTGCTCCCCTTTTCTCAAATACTCCTAGAGGTGGCCTTGATATACAATGTCCCCATCTGAGCCACCCACAAAAAGCAAAAAATCAAGATTAAAATCTTGGTGAATTGAAAATGAAATGGAAACATGTCTTTTCTTATGGAGCAAGATAATAACCATAAACCTTCCTTTCCTCCATAAACAAAAATATAGATAATCTAGCGTACGTCAAGGCAACCCCTCTCCAGTGAATATAATGAGCTGCCTTTCAGTTGAAGATTTATTATGTGCTAAGCAAACTGCTTTCCTCCCAACAACTCTATGGGGTTATTATTCCCATTCTATAGATGAAGAAACAGAGCCGGAGAGGTTAAACACAACACGTAATTGTTGAACAGGAGTTTGAATCTCTGCCCAAAGCCTATCCTCCTGACCCTTAAGCTCTGCCTGTCAGGTTCTTCCTCTTCAGAGCTTTGCAGGCAGGTTGATTTAAAACTGAATTTATTCAGTTTTGTAGACATTAATACAGTCTGAGGAGTAAGGCTGCAGTTGCTCTGTGGGCTAACGTGTGGTATGACTGCTTAGGTCAACAAGAGCCTGCTGGGACAGGAAATGCCAACTGTACACAGGGCCTTTGAGTCCTGAGAGAGAGACAGCGGCCTGCACCTGAAGCTGCATGTTTGTCTGGGTGAGTTCTTCTGCTTTCTTTTCCAGTGACATCACCCAGACCTTCCTCTTCTGTCTGCAGCGGGTGGCGGCTGCCCGGTTCCGTTCCAGAAATTTCCGCCGCCTCTCGTCAGGATCCTCATCCACCACCCTTCGCCGGCGCCCCCCTGCGGGCTGGGGCGGCTGTATCGTCTGGGTTGGCTGCATCTGTTGTGTGGCTGGTGAAACCTGCTGGGAACGAGGGGAGGAAACCAGGATAAGGAAGGAACATGTAGGGTGCCGGAAGAAACCCAAGCTGGTGTCGAAATGCAAAGCTTCAGCATTTGCTTCAGCAATGACATCAAACTTGTTTTCTAAGAATGAAGTAAACAATGAAGCCACACTCATAAAAAGAAAAGGCATCACTGAACTATCTCCTGTGATACTTTCGCAAGACACAGGAATGACTTGTGAAAAGAGAGTCAAATGGATTCTTCCCTCACAGGAATTTGGCTGAATCATGGCAAAGGAAATATTTGTTTCTCCTTCAGATGTTAAAAATGTTATTTAAAGTGCCAATGTATGGCTACTGATGGAAACAGAGAGGTCAGGGTTATTGTCACAATCGTGATGAGTCTTCCATCTGCAGAAAACTCCTTCTGGGCGGGCTGTGAGCTCCTTTTATTCAAACCGTGTTCATGGTACACACCGCTGGGTCATGACCGCTACTGGGACTCCTATCAAAAGGGCCGGGAAGCAGCTGAAATTCTATTTTCACAATTTCACAGTTCTTAATGCAAAGGACTAGGTGGACTTGCACACTCCAGGTGGGTCTGCCTGCTCCTCAGAGCTCTCAGACAGAAGGAGTTACAGGAGGCTTTCCTAGGTGACTGGGAAGCAGCGCCTCTGAAAGGATACGATCGATGCCCGAAGAAGTGCTGAGCGGGGCTGCGCGCCTGGGCAGTGAGGAGGGACGGCTGCAAGTCACCACGCACTTTCAGCTAAGGAAATCCTTGGAGGGGCAGGACGCTTTATTAGAAAAGTTTACTATGCTTGGGAATTCCTTGTAACGGGGCTCGGCTACATCTAAGTTTCTGTAGAACTTCCACACCTACAGCTTTATTTTCCCTCCTGAGGCAGACACACAGCACTTAGTGACACTTCTACGACTGGCACTTTATGTGTCTGGACACCCAATGCTTTCCTCAGTGCACTTCACTCCTTCCCTTTTCTTCATTCTTAATAAAGCGTGTTTTTTCTGTTTTCCTCTCGTTTCTCAGTCACTCAGGCTTATGGCTGTAGTACCTAAAAGTTGTTTTACAAGCGACATTTAACTTGTAGAAATAATAGGCAAAAAGTTTTAAAAATGAAGCCCAGCAACCTTTTCTACCACATTCCAATCCTAGGATGGAAATCAATCAGAATGACTGTACAGGCACTGCTAATGGCTGCCGGCTGACACCAGCTGACTGACTGACAGTGATGTAGTTTCATCCTAACTCTATCAAACTGTATATGACTAACTGTAAAAGAATCAGTTAGGATTGCATCTCAGTACCTTTATTTAAAGCAAAGACATTTTCTAAAACTTTTTATTGGTAATTCCTTTCCTCCCAATCACAGAGGAATAGCAAAATAAATTAATTGTCTACAGCCTGACTCATCAAAGTGGCTACTGAAGATGTAACCCTTGCTCCTGGCAAATGTTAGCACTTGTTTCAGATGCTACTTCTGAGCTAACTACTGCAAAACAAAGCGTTAGAGGGGAACATGCTACCCTGGCTGCTTTTGCCTTTACATTGCTTTTTGTGAATTAGCAATCTCTAATTGCCAGCCCTAGACAAGACTCTCAAGTAAGCAAAACTGGGTTTTAACCTCCATTCCAAGTACCTCTCTTTCAATACTGTCCCCCTACCCTAACTTCAACCAGCCTGTATTCCCTGACACTTTCCTGCACCTTCACCCAAAGGAGTAAGTTATGTAGTGGTTTCAGGATCACTCCAGGTTCAGGGTTCAAGGTGTGGTTTGGTTAAGAGAAATTCCTGGTGGCTGAGGAGTGACTCAAGAACTCTGAAAGGACATCCTTATATGCAAGAGAATCACTCGATGCTAGAAGAAATGCTAGAAAAACCCTACAACCAGAATTGGTGTCCCTGGTAATTATTGCTTCTTACCTTTTATTTTTAAGATAGAATTCTGTTGGCATAGACAGTCTGAAATTTGGAGTAAAAAATAATGAATTGCAATTTCAAAAAGACAGAATTTATTCCAAATCATCTTAGAATCCCAGAGTTGGAAGGACTTTAATAAACTTCTATTCCTATTATTCTAATAATCATACAGTTAAGCAACATGACAAGATCTCAGTAATCAGTCAAGTTGATACAATTTAAGAGTGAAATTTTGAGTATGGTCTAAATGATCTGTCCAAATTTTACCAAGTCAAACCTGGACTCTTTTTAGTATAAGCTAAAAAAGCAACTGTTTGTGCAGCTAATTATAATAGCAATTAGCTAATTGCATATACAATTGGCCACTTACTTTAAATGGAGGGCGACTGGCTCACTTGTAATTAGTTAATGAATGGTTTTTATATTCAGGAAGTATTAAGCTTGTCAGTGAAGTAACTTGCCTACAAAGGCAACCAAAACATTGCCTTTTTCTTAAAAATAAGGACACATTTATCTATTTGTTCAGATGTTTTGGATAGAATTTTATTGCTAAACTACCTGCTAAATTTTTGTCACACTACTTTGGTTTCGAATTCATCATGGCTAATGTGTATTGAAAATTGTGCTAAGGGCTATACAGGCATTCTCTTATTTAATACTCCTAAGAGATTATGAGTGTAGTCTATCTTTACCCCATTTTGCAGATGGGAAAACTGAGGCTTAGGGAAGCTAACTGATCAACCACAGTCTCATAGCAACTAAGGTAGGAAAAGAAATTTTTCTTACTCCAAAGCCTGGACTCTTACTTGCAATATAAAATACATCTTAGGACCTCTGCAAAAGTAAGCTTACCTAATAAATAAGTTTATCTACTGAATAGATTAGAGAGTTGCTTGTAGATGACCCATTTTGTGAATGGCTCTCCAGGTTTGGTATATATTAGAAAATGGGGTTCCAGAGCTCAAAAAGCTGCCTGGTATGAGGTACAGAGGCAGATGGAGGTGACAGTGAATAGGGGTTCTTTGGTGATCCCAAGCTTCCAACACCATTCTGACCCAGCTGGTTGGAAGCAGGCAGTGTGGATGGGTGGGGGGACTGACATAGGTCATCCTACTTGAAGATACAGAGTCTAGGGCTAGCCATGCCCTTAGACATGCCCTTCATCTACTCACTAAAAATTTAGTTGGTTACAGGGACCCGCCTCTCTTTTTGGGTTGGGTGACATAATGTCTGCCTGGTCCCCCAACCCTCTTTCAAATGAGTCTAAATGCTGGCTTTCTTTCTAGCCACTCCTGGTGACTCTCCACCTCTGGGATTTGGCCCTTCTGTTGAACTGATCATCTGCAGAACTTGGCTCTGTCTGCTCCCTCCAACGCATTTCACATTGGGTGGGATGAGTCACCTTTCTTCACCATTTACACAGCACCTTATGCCCTAACATCCATCACCAGGCCTCTTTGTCTGGAATCGTTACTCTTAAGATTTTTAACATTTACTGTTACTCAGAAGATTGCCCATTGTATTTAATTGCCATTTTACAGGTGACAAAACCGAGTCTCTGGTGTTATAAAGCACTGCAGCTAGGACTGCAGTTAGTTAACTTATTTTTCTTATTCTTTATTCAGATGTTCACATGCTTAAATTCTTTCTGGTGCTTCTATTGGTATTACGGTCTTAGGGTGAACTTTGTAACACACTCCAGAAATACATTTTGGAGAACTGGAAGTTTACATTTGCCCTTAGAGACTAGAGCTGAAATTTACTGTATTATTTACAGGCAGGGTCTTATCTGTCAGGGCCTTATGGGTAACTGTTACCTTCTAGGAATGAACAGAACTCTCTAAGGTGTCAGAGAGAACATTTGGCTTGAATGACCCCCACATTAGAGCTTGACCATTATTAAGAAGGGGGAAGAGATGATGAAAAGGGTCTCACCTGTGCTTGGTTGCCGGAGTGCAGGGGTGGGTGCGGCGAGGTCTGGTGATGTGCTGGGTGTGCGTGAAGGTGGGCATGCGAGTGGTGATGTGGGTGGTTCTGCTGGTGGTGGGGCTGTGGATGGGGGTGGTGTGCGGGGTGCTGGTGCTGGTGAGGGTAGGGATGGTGGGTTGGCAGTGTCGGGTGCTGATGGGGGTGTGAGTGCATGTGATGGTGCGGCGTCTGGTCCTGCCGGGAGCCCATCATTTCCATCATGTGGCCCATGGTGTTCATATTCCCATTGGACATGGCAGCAGGGTGGTGAGTCAGTGCGGCCTTCAGCCTCTGAAGCAGAACAGAATGAGAGGGGACAACTGAGGTCAGTCCTGTACAGAACAGGGATTTTGAATAAAAATGACTCATATTTTCAACTCCATAATATTTTATGATACTACTGTTAGCATTTATTTTTACTGGTAATAGTATGGCTTTTATGTTAGTTTTCAAATTTTCATATATATTATTGTAGTAGGAGGGTCAATGTCAGCCAGGAATGTTAATTGATTCAACTGTCACAGCAAATGAGAGGATAGATACCCCATCAAGATTTAGACAATCAACTACAGGGTATTTCCTACTATGTAATGGTTCAACATACCCTATTGATAGCTGAATGCAAGTATAAACTAAATAAAAGCATTCAATACGATAATGCCACTAAACACAGGGCTCATCTGATGTGGCACTGTTTTGTAAGGGTCACAAGAAGAAACAATTTTTGTCTCTCAGAAGATTTCTTGGACACATAAAGCAAACAGCCTCAATGTTTAGAATACAGGAACAGTACTAATGCTATTTTAGGACTTCAAATTAGATTAGTAATCCATACATTTTGGAAGCAATGTGTAGTCTTTTCCATAGGTTCCAATGTATAGATTTCTCATAATCTCTCCCTATAATCTAATTTTCTCAAACAATAACTTTCTTCTGACTTTGGGAAGGAAGTGAGGCAAAGTAGAAGAATAAGGAGTATTGCACTTCTACAGCTTCTTTGGTGGCCACATTGACAGGAATATTTCTAATACAAAAGCACTATCATTAACAAACAGAGAACTTCAACAGGGATCTAAAGAGCAGTTGGCAAACTTTATCTATAGCATCAGATAGTAATTATCTTCATCATTCTATGCCTTATGGTCTCTGTCACAACTACTCAACTCTGCCCTTTCAGTGCAAAGGCATGTACAGGTGATATGTAAATAAATGAGCTGCTGTGTTTCAATACAACTTTACTTAGGGACAGGATGTTGGAATTGCATATGATTTTTGTGTGACAAGAAATGCTATTCTGTTTTTGTTTTTTCCCACCATTTAAAAATGTAAAAACAATTTTTAGCTCACACACTGTGCAAAATTAGGCAGCAGGCCAGATTTGGTCCACCGGCCATCATTTGCTGTCTCTGATTTAAAAAATCAGTTGATAATCAGCTCCATTGCAGTTTCTTCAAAATTGTTTTTTCTTGTACACAGACAATTATCATTATGTTCTGAGGGCACAATGTGCTAAGTACTATATAATACAGTTATTCAGTGGAAATGTATCTCCTGCAGAGGTGACAGTGTAGCTGGCAAGCTCACATTGGCTTCATGAAGTATTTAGCAGGGGACCCAAAGTTCTCTCCTCATTTGTGTACTTACCTGATTTATAACAGTGGTGTGTAATCACCGTGAAAAAGAGGAGTTGTGTTTAAATGCTGATCACAGCAACCATGCCCCAGCCCTATGTGATACTAAGGATTCTCAAGCAGTTAGAGTAAACTTTTGATAAATACCAATTCAATTCATCAACATCTTTAGTAAAACATAAAGAGCCCCTATTTGTAAAAAAAAAAAAAGTTGGGGGAGGAGACTTTGGCAAACTGTATCTTAATATTAAATAATCACTGAAAACATTTCCTACATCTTAATTTAGTATCACTGAACCCACTTGCCTCCTGTTTTGAGCAAACAGCTCCTAACCTTTGCCATGAGAATCCTGAAAAAGTTAAGCTTCTGGAATCCCTCAAAAAGATCAGAGGCTGGGTGTTGTGTTTACTATTAAGCAGAAAAGTGCTAATATGCCTTGCCTCCAGTTTTTAGAAGTGATTTCATTGTTTTTATAAAAATGCACATTATAAAAAATTTAAGCATTGCTTTTTACAAGTACAACAAAGTCAGCAATAAATGAACCAAATGGTTTGTTTATATTTGGTGGGTGGACAGCATTCCAGACAATTCTCTATATGTGTATGAAGAGATGAAGGAATAAGTAGAACAATATCATAACAGTGGGATCAGAATAAAATGTTATTTTTAAAATTCTTATTTGAATATAACATAAGAAAAGAAGTGAAAATGGAATGAATTGCTGGTACATGTTTCTTTACCCCAAGAAAAGTTTCTAAATGTTATCTCCAAACCCAAGGATAAAGAAAATTACGAAAAAAGATCATATCAAAATCACTTTTAAAAATGACATATTAGACAGTATTGATGGACTTTCTGGACTATTCTTTGTAGTTACATTATTATAAAAATATATAGCTCCATAGTAAAATCTACTACAAGAATATGAGGTGTCAAAGTAAAAGTCATCTGCCCACCCTTCTCCCTGTAGGCCCCAGTCCCATTCCTCAGATGTAACCACTGTGAATCCTCAGACATACCCTTAGCATTGATAAGAGTACATCTGTGCAAGCCCTTTTTATGATATATAGTTTCATAGCTTGCTTTTTTTCACTTTAGCAATATATCTTCAATACCATCCCTTATCAATAAAAATAGCTAATAACAATAGCCTGCATTGATTGAGCACTCTCTAAGTGCCATTCCTCTTTTATACTTTACAAGTATTAACTCATCTAGTTCTCAGAACCACTGTTAAGGCTCAAAAGAGAGGCTAAGCCATGTGCCCAGGCTCACACTGCTGGGAGAGAGTAGAGGCATGTTACCCCCAGAGCCTAGGAGAGATGGTAACAGATGGTTCTCTACCAGGAGAGACGGTAACAGAAGGCCACACTTTGCTGAAAACAGGAGTAAACTGTGTTCTGCCACTTACCCATCATGGAAAGGAAAAGAAAATAAAAAGAGAAGGACTTAGAAAAAAATGGCAAACAAGATGCCATTGCTGCAGGGTCCAGCACACTGTTACTCTGCACACAATTGGAGAGTCAGACACACTCTTTCTGAAATTTGCCAGAGGGAAGGGTGGACGGTAAGAATTTCCTGGAAGCTCAACTGCAGCAAAGGATCGTGGGGGCTCAGCCTAATCACCTCGTTGGTGTTTGAGAAGACCGAATACTTAAATTTTCCCAACACACAGGTCTGCGTAAGTCCACCTGTCCTTTCTCTTTGCCCCCACTTCCTTGGGTTGATGACCCTTCTCTGTCTTTCTAATGTTCAGAATATGAAGGTCCAAGTCCCTGGTAGAGCTTATGGCATAGGCACTGCAGTGGGGGGGCCCTGCCTTCCCATCAGCCCTGTTTTTCCCAGGCAGGCCTTCACAATTGGGAGTCTTGTCTGGAATGCTCTTGGCCTTTCTCTGGGCATTCTTCAGCTCTCAGCTCCAGGTTCCTCCTTAGTAAAAATCTCCCTGGTCTTCTGGGAGACCTGTTCTAAATCAATTCCTGTTGCTACATGAGCCCAGAATAATCATCTTCCTCTTTTTAAAATTCAGTTTGTAGAAATGATTTTTAGTATGATTATTTAATTAATAACCCAAATTGTAAGCTTCATGAGAGCAGGAACCATGGTGGATTTTGCTCAGTGTTAAATTCACAGTTTTAGCACAGTGCCTGGTACATACTCAGCCACTGAATTCAAATGTTTTGAATGAAAGAATGAATGAAATAAAGAAAAAGGAAGGAATAAAAAGAAAGAAAGAAAGAAATGTTCTGAGGCTTGTGATAAGAATGAGGCATTTTCATCTTAGATCACTGCAGGTGGTATTTATGTGGGAGGATGATCTTATCAGTCAGCACAGATCAGCAGAGTCTACTACAGAAGTCAGGCAGGCAGATGGGCTATTAAAGTCCTATCAAAAGAGCCCCCTGCTTTATACCCTTCCTGCCCTCTAAAAAAATGATAGCATTAAAAAAACCCATAAATAAGTAAAAAAGAATGCACATAAACTTCATCTGGATATACTGTCCCTGAAAGAGGGGCATGGAAAATTGAAATGCCATTTAGGAGTGGGTGACTATGTTATCCCTTCAGTGCTACAAACAACTTTTCCACCTTTAATAAGGAGCAAGCGGATATTATGCACCAGATTTTCATCTCTCAAATAATTAGCTTGTACTGTTAAGGGAAATTACCTGATTGCCTCAAGTCTCTTCTTGCATGTTTCATGCCAAGACAATAATACTAGTAAGGCTTATAACATTCCATTTAACTATTCACTTAACAAATATTAATTGAGCATCTATTATGTGCTGGGCCTGTATTAGGCACATCACCATCTGCCCACTACCTGAAGAAAAGGTAACACATAAAACTAAAGCTTCTTCAAGCACTGAAGAGAAAAAATACACACTTAAGTGCAGAAATTAAGACTTTCAAGCACCCCTTAGAGAATCTCAGGCCTTTCGGTTGACTCCACCCTCCAAATACCAGTCACTGTCACCTTCGAAGGAAAGCAGTGAAGATAAATGATGATGGGGCTGCTCTGCATATGCCATTTAATATTCTCCATGTTATATCTAAATAGTTCAGAGCACTTCTCAATCCTAAAGAGCCTACTGCTTCCCTGTATCCAACAAGAGTCATTGCACTGTAAATCATTAAAATATACCAAATATAGGTATTTGTACCCCACTCTCTTAGGGATGATAAATGGCCAGTAAATGAGTCCAAGCTGTATTCTGCAGAATGATTTTTCTTTCTGAAGCTGAACTGTGTCTTGTTTTAAATAACATTCTACTCAATGCCAAAAAAAGGCAAGGGAGAGAGAGGGAAATTAATGAGCAAATAAACATATATTTTTCAGCTATAAAAGCCAGGGCTATTACTGAGGTGTGACTGCAAGAAAGAAAAAATGATTCTGTTTACTTTCTATCGTCCTCTACAACATCCATTTATTTGAAAGAGCAAATCAGGAGAGACAGCGAGAAGCCCGATACAGCTGGTTTCAGTCAATAGGGGTCATTTTCATTCGGTCTGTGTATTTTACAAGCTCCTTGTTCACTGGTCCCGATGGGACAGTGGGCCTGCTGCCCGAGATCTGAGTCCTGGTAAGAAACCAGCTGTCCATCTCATCCCATACCGTGCATGGCCCCTGCCATGAGGGCCCCTCTTTCATCTCCAGC